CAACATACTCTGTTGATGATCGAATCCCTCTTCAGCACAAATATCATTATAGGCTGGGCATTCCATAACACGTGTTTTTCATCCTCAATTCGGCTATTAGGACCACAACAGTGGCAAAACCGCTGCCCCCTGGGGACATGGTACTTGCCCCTTCGTGCTCTGTTCGCCTCCAAAGCCCAGCAACATAAACGAAACTGCATTAGCTTACGATGTGCTAAACGAGGAATGAAAACCTTAGCATGTGTTGGCCACATGACGGCTGCGGCTCCCGAAAAGGGCAGCCCCATCCAGTGCTTATACTTCGCCATTTGCACTCCCGGTTGCTTCCCATCTGATGGGTACTCCTCTGGCAAGACAGTCAGACGCGTATGGTCCCAGCCGCTCATCAAACGCTCTCTTAGTGCCGTTATTATCGCTCCTTCTGGTAGAGGTCGACTCAACAACCAGTCAACACGCTCCTTTACCCCCACGACTTCTTGCGGTATTCCGCTCCAAATGTTGCACTCTAAGAAGGAAAACAGTCGTAACATTGAGATTCCCCAACCCTCCCATTCCGGGTTGGTCAGGGCATCGGTTATCTCCTGCCGTAAAACTGCATGAGCAATGGATCCCACTTGCTTTTGAAGGCGGTTCCAGAAACGGAGAATCTGCTTCACCATGTAATATTGTAAGGGGAGTTCAGCCAGCTCCGCGTACAACAGCCTGTGGGATGGCCGTGCCGTCCCCACTACCTGTTGACTTCCGGCCAGAACACTAACGGCTGTACGACAGATAAGATGGGATGTTTGGTATATAGGAGATGATGTTCTGACTGAAAGCTTGTTCTGTGATACCTGTAACGGTTAAGGTTGGCTTTACCTACACAGTTCCACTCGCCTATATCTTAACAGGTTATGAGCCCCGCGCCGCCGCGGCAAGCGAGCGAGCGTTTTGCTTAAGTACTGTATCCGAACTTGCTGGCTTAGCAATTCTCTGGCTTAGAGATAGGACGAGTATGGGGAAGGACAATGATGTAGAGCGTTTAGATAGCTACGCCAACTATTTTCGCTGGCGGACGGCCATGAAGTACTGTTTGGCCGGCAAGGATTTGTGGGACGAGGCAGAAGACCTGCCGAGCGCCGTCGCCGACAAGTCCATGAAGGCAAAATCGCAGCTGGTGAAATATACGGTGCCCCGTTTTCACAGGCTGATCGATCAATCAGCCGACTCTGCCGCAGCGTGNGATGCGATCCGCACCGAATGCGTCTCTGAGATTGGAGCGAACAACTTGTTCATAAAGCAGAAATTTAGCAACCTGAAGCAACGGACAGGCCAGTCCGTTGTTGATTACTTCGAGGAAGCAGAAGATCTGCGTGAGCAAATGGTTGCAGTGGGCTCGAAGATCGACGAATGCCAATTCGCCCTGGCCATCTTGGGTGGTTTGCATAAGAAATTCCAAATGCAGCAGATGCTTTTTGCTGCCAAGCCGCCGAGCGACATGAAGCTTTCGGAAATCAAGGCCGCTCTACTCCTGGCGGAGCGGATGCAAGGTGACAACAACGCAGAGTGGGCCCAGGCCGAGGCCCTGGCGTTTAGCAACCGGAGCAGTGGGGTAGGCCACCGTGGCTTCGGTGGCGACTACCGTAGTGGAGCTGGTAAAGGCCAGGGAAATGTCAACGTCGGGGCGAGTACCAGCTCTGGCGGGCCTGATGTTTCCATCAACCCCTACGCAACCCATAAGTGCCATAAATGTGGCGTTCTTGGGCATATCAAGTCTCAGTGCCCGCTCGTCACAAGGGGCAACAACAAGGGCAACAACCGACACAGCAAGCAGCTGGTAATGGCCCTAACCACCTCCACCACCTCCGAAGCCACGGAAATCCAGGCAACAGCTGAGAAGTCGCTCGCCAAGCTGGCTTGGAAAATGGACTCGGCAGCGGCCGTCCATGTTACGGACGACCGGTCGGACTTCAGCGAGTACGTACCGCTCACGGACGGCATAGTCCTAGAAGGTGTGGCGGGTGCGATTTGCAAGACGGTTGGAGTGGGTACCGTCCTGCTAGAAGCAGAGGGAGAGAATGGCAAGATTAAGATTACCCTAAAGAATAAGTATCATGCGCCGGGATTAGGTCACAAGCTGATTTCGGTAGGCGAACTAGGTCTGAAGGGTTACCACGTGGATTTTCGTGGGCCGGTTGCTGTGGTTAGGCAGCC